AGCAGGAACAGCAATAATAGTCACGTGTCCTTCAGTAAAACTAAAATCTAAAAGCTGGCACCAGAAATTGGTCCAGAAAAACATAACCAGTGAAGAAATCTCAAACCTATGAGGTTCTTGCAGCCCGTTCTTCTTAATGTTCCGGATGCTATGTTTTCGATCAAATGAAGGCTTCGAACCATCTCTGAGGGCAGCCCAGTCATCCCAGCTGGGGCACCATGCGAAACTGAAAATATCCTCCTAGTCTCCAGCTGAAAATGAGCAAGTGGAGGGTAGGCCAAGTAGACTCGAGGCGGGGCATGGAGAATCTCCTGGAATTACAACTGATCACCAGTATACAAACATCCGTTCCCCCGGAACAAAATGGCAGGTTTGGAGGGTGGGCTGTATGCCAATATATCCCTCTGAGGCCCTTCCCCTCTCCAGGCTGCACCCCCAAAAATCTCCAAGAATTTCCAAACCCAAAGTTGACAGCCCTATGTGTAGGACCTTCACCAACTCTGGAACGCAGGGAAATTGCACTTTGTCAAACTTCAGTAAATTTTGAAAACTGCACCTAATGCAGCATACTACAGCCAGTCTTTGAGAAAGAACTTGCCCAGCTGTAGCTGAGCTAACTATCTTCTCTGCCAGTGCCACTCCCAAGCCCAATTCAAAGTGCTGGTTTTGCCCTTAAAAGAATGCCATGGCCTTGAAACAAGGAGAGAACCTTTCTTCAGATTAAACCCTTCCTCCTGCTAATTTAATCTTCTCAGGCTCTGCACCAGGTCTCCTCATCTCAAGGCATTAGGACACCTGCCACTAGGAATAAGGCCTTTCCTTCAGTTTCTCTGATGTTACAAATCAACCATTTTACAAGATCTGCTCTTTACTCCTGAGCTCTAGCCAGCTGTGAAAGGTTCGCCTGTTGAAGTCTTTGGCTTGATGGTTGGATCTATTGCAGGTCTATTTTGGGGCAGGAACGCACAAGAACAGAGTTCCGGCTGGCTCCCAAGTTGGCCACGCCCAGCAGGAACTCATTAGCATAATAGGCCACACCCAACAGCAGAAACTCATTAGGATTGGCTACATTAGGGGTGTGCGGCCTAACATGCAAAGGGGTTCCTGCTACAAAAAAAGGCCCTGGGTTTTGACAACAAACAAGGTAAACAGAATAACAAGCAAAAGGTGGGTGTAGCTGGATGACCACACTTCTGGTAATATGTGGGTGCGGCTTAATATGCTAATGAGTGGTGCTGTCAGGGGTATGGCCCAATATGCTAATGAGTTCCTGCTGTTGGGTGTGGCCTATTACGCTAATGAGTTCCTGCTGGGCTTTTTCTACAAAAAGAGCCCTGAGCAAGGTCTAACTGATTCCTATTTTCTGTTGGTATAGTTATAGCTCTTTAACTATATTTTATGGAATATTTACATAATTGTTTTTATTTTATATTCCACCTCGATCCATGGGAACCCATTCAACAAACAACCCCACAATCATTAGCCAGAAGCCTCCGCTGCAGCCCAGCTCAGCACAAGTAAGGAGGACTTCCCCATGGCAAAAAGACTGCACATATGCTTTACTGGAGCTGTGCCCGCCATAACCAGAAATGTGAGCTCTGTGTATTCAAAGGGCTGCCAAAAGAGATACATGGATAGCTCTGCCCTGGAATGCTGAACAGCACCGCTTAGAATAATTGCACAGTGTTGGTTGCAGAGCAGCACGGATTTAGTTGGCCCGTTCTTCCAGTGGTGGAAAATGCATCATAGAGCTGGAAGGGACCTCCAGGGTCATCTAGTCCAACCCCCTGCACAATGCAGGAAATTCACAAATACCTCCCCCCTCCACACCCGCAGTGACCACTGTTCCATGCCCAGAAGATGACAAAAAAAACCCTCCAGGATTGCTTCCTGACCCCAAAGTGGCAATCAGCATTTCCCTGGGCATGTAAAAAAAGGGCCACAAGAACTAAGCATAGAGGCCTTGTAGTGTTTTCAAGGCAAGAGATGAGCCAAGTTGGGACCCATTGCCTGCCTCTGCAGAGCAGCCCTGGACTTCTTTGGTGGTCTCCCATCTGAATGCTAACCAGGGCCAACCCTGCTTCGCTTCCAAGATC